CGCTGTCCTGTGCCCCCTGCTCTGGGTGAGCCTGCTTGGGCAGGGGGGTTGGGCTGGGGGATCTCCGGAGGGCCCTGCCAACCCCAGCCATGCTGGGATTCTGTAATGGTAGGTGTGATGTTAAGGCAGTTTCTTCCTAAATAGCAAAACCAAAGCATTGGAAAGAAGAGTTGATCTCAGTGACTTTTGTGTGCTCCCACCTCGTTTCTCCTTATGCTAGGCACAGGGTTGGTAACATGTCTTGGCAGTCCAGGGGGATCTGAAGCGGTAGCGGAATTGTTACCAGACCGCACTTAGGTTGGGCAGAGAGATTCTGAGCTTCTCTCCAAGCTGCGTGCGGGCTTTGTTTGGAATAGTAACCTATTTTGGGGGGAGTTCTTTAAGGTAACTAGATTAGAGTAGCTGTTGCTGTGCAAAACATGCAAATGCACTAAGCAGGCTACGTACCCTGCAGGGTTTTGCGCATCTCCCTGAGATGCAAGCAGTGTGCCTGCTAAGGCGTTTTTGCTAATACAGGAGATCTGTGTGACTAAGTTCTTACGGAATAAGCTGTCTCCGCATATTCCTAGAGTGAGCAGGCCTGGAGTCATCGGGCAAAGCTTTCTTCTAAATATAAAAATGCTGTAGTAAAAATTACCCATGTTCAGCTGACACGGTCTGTATGGCGCTAGAAAGCGCTACAGCCGCGTTAACTGATGTGATTTTAAACCAAAGACGTGCCTGAAGATACGCGCAGCTAAACCAGAACTGATGCCAAATGCAGATTTTTCTGGTGTTTGCCTTGTCATGCTTAACTGCTTGTGAAGACTGCTGCAGCCCAGTGAATCCATCATGCAGTCAGGCTAAGGAAGATGGGCTCTGGGAGAGAAGGGGGGGGTCCTTAGGGTAAGCTTTAAAATACCTTTTGTGTTAACGACTGCTTCTTCATTACCAGGCGAGACTTTTTGATGAGCCTCAGCTGGCCAGCCTTTGCCTAGAGAACATAGACAAGAACACATCAGACGCCATCAATGCGGAGGGGTTTACGGACATTGATCTGGGTAAGCTTTTTTCCCCTCCTCCCTCCACATGCTTTCATAACAAGCCAGCCTCTAAAGTTATTACAGGTTAATACTTGGCCCTTCTCTTCTGTGGCTTTGCTGTTCTGGAGCAATCTGTGAACGGGCAGACTCTGGCTGGAGATAAGGCATTTGCAAAACAGCATGCTTGCTTGCAGAAATATCCTGGAATCTGCTTGCTTTGGTGCAGCTTGGAGTTTTCTGGGCACGATACAAAGCCCGTTTCCTCTGTTGATGTTGGCAGGTTTTGGGTGGGTGTAACTTGCCGCCTTTTGTGGAGTTGGCATCGTTCCCTGAGTCTTTGTCAGGTTTTGGAGTTAAAAAGGTGTTGTGTTTTTTGAAAGCAAGAACTGGCTATTTTAATTATCCTGTGCAGTTCCCAAACTTGCTAGGCACAGTTAATAAACATTAAAATCCAGACTTCAGCCTTCTCATGAGGTGGACTGTGGAGGTAAGGCATGGGTAACCTTCTGGCTTTCATGCTGCTTGCTTCATCCAAATCTGATGTCAAGTAAGTTGCAATTCATTCTAGTCCACTTCCATTAACATGCCAATTAATTGGACACTGTTGGCTGCTCCGGTGAGTTACTTGCTTATGGAATATGAAGATACATCTTCCTCAGAGGCTGCAGGCAGCACTTTTGGGAGACGCCGTTTTGGTTTTTTTTCTTAATTGCTTCGCTTTTACTTACCTTGGCTGTACACAGGGTACTTCTGGCGAGGTAAAATCGGGTGATGTGGGTTAGCGCCTAAAGTTGTCACTATCTGTCCTGCCTTGCAGACACCCTGGTTGCGGTGCTGGAGAGGGATACCCTGGGGATCCGGGAGGTTCGTTTGTTTAATGCAGTGGTTCGCTGGTCGGAGGCTGAGTGTCAACGGCAGCAACTCCAGGTGATTCCAGAGAACAAGCGGAAAGTACTGGGCAAAGCGCTTTCTCTTATCCGCTTCCCATTGATGACTATTGAGGAGTTTGCAGCAGGTAACTGAACAAAGGCATTTCTGGCAACCCTGGTCTTTGCTTTCTCTGAACTACAGAGGATCAAGTACATGAAAATGGATTTTCTCTGTGTATCCCGTAATTTAAATTATCCCCTGTTCCCGCTGATCTGCAAAATCTACTGTGTAAATGCTATTTTCCTCCATGATCGTTCACTCTTGTTTTAAAGACCGTGGTGCTCCGTTGGGTGGGAGCAAGTCAGATCACAGCTGACTGTTTGTACCCATAGTTTGTACCTGTGGATGGTTACTTTCTCGTTCAGCTGAGAGCAAAGATCCAAACAGGGGTTCACATGCTTTTCCTTTCTAACCATTCCAAGCATTCAAACTACACAAAGCTAACGGAGTTGCAAGTAATTGGTGTTGATTGTCGCCTGCTCCCAAAGACAAATGAGGATGTTTCTCCCCATCCTCTATTTGCTGCTGCCTGTAATCCAGTGGTGGTGTTGGCCGTGTCTTGCTGATGCTGCTCAGAGCAGAGCCCCGTAATAGAAAAAAACTTTCAAAATGTTCTTTGAGCGGAGGAATTGGCGGTGTTTAGTCTGTGTCTCAAAGCATTTTTCAAGTTTACATTAAAATCTTGATCTACAAAGATGTCCAAATCACTTAAATCATTTAACAGTTTTGACTAAAGATTTTTTTTTTTTTTTTGGTTTGTTTTCATTGCCTGTTGACTTTGACTTCATACTCTGGTGATTCTCCAGGGACTGAAAACTGGCAATCGGCTTAAATAGTTTTCATGTTGAAAGTCACTGTGGAGCCATCTTCAAAACTGAAACTTGGTTTAGGCTGCAGTTATGGGAACAAAGAAGCAAAAAGGGTCACAGACAGCGCTTCCTCTGCAGATCCCTTCTCAAGGCAGAGATGGCGTCAGCTTATCGACAGCTAACGTACATCTTTCAGGATGAAGAGGGATATTAGTAAAGAAGTAAACCTCTGCTTAAGACTTGGTACCTGCTTTTTGTTTTGCCTGTCGCAGCTGCGATGTGGTCTTAGGGACGTGAATATCTTCAGAAACGGCTCGGTCCAGGCAGCAGAGAGATGTTCATCCGAACTGGGTACCTTTCCTTTGTGTTGGCACTGGGTGAAAACACGGCACACCATTCCTCGGCGTGCGTGGTGCCAAACGGCAGCTTTGCAGCCGATCGCAGGCTTAGGATCCAGCTCGATGGGAGCGAGCGTCCTCCTCCTGGGCAGCGCTACAGCCCTCAGAGCAGTTCGCGTACGCCAAGCTTTGCATGTTTCTGTAGAGCCTCTTTCACAGAATCACAGAATCGCAAGAGTTGGAAGGGACCTCGGGAGATCCCCCAGCCCAACCCCCCTGCTAAAGCAGGATCTCCTAGAGCATGTTACACAGGACAGCGTCCAGGCGGGGGTTGAAGATCTCCAGAGAAGGAGACTCCACAGCCCCCCTGGGCAGCCTGGGCCAGGGCTCGGGCACCCTCACAGTCAACAAGTTCTTCCTCCCGTTCAACTGGAACCTCTT